AAAATTATTATTTACCTTTATTTTTTCGTAAATAGTTGTAGCCGTTTGTATGGTAGATTCGACTACAGGAATTTTTGAAATTCTGTTGACCGATTCAATTGTAATTCCATCGTTGCCAGCGGGGGCAGGTGAGGCTGTAGCAGCAACGCTTTCAGACTGGTTTGTCGAAGCCATTATAGCTAGTTGTTCTTTATCTGGAAAAATATTTTACAAATTGGCATAGAAAGCAGTAAATGAAAAACAAAAAAAAAAATAAAAAAAAAAACCAGGGCCGACTGCGTTTACTGTTATTTTTAAAAATGAGAGACAAAAGACTGTGATCAGACACTTACCTTGTGTATGGGAAGTAATAAAATTACAATAGTTAACGTAGGTAGAACTATATACTGTGCGTGGTGTTCAAAGATTGAACTTTAAATGAATGACAAACCGAGAAGGACTAACGGACTTGTACCTATGACCGATAAATCTTGCTTATCATCTTATCAAGGTTAATGATATAAAAGCATGTCCTGTTATGAAGTTATAATGGTGTACCGCATATTAAAATTTAAAATTTAATGTCTACCGTTTGAAAAATTAGGGTACCATTTTTTGTTTATAATACGAATATAAAAATAGACTATTAANAAACTTCCACCTTTATCCCGCTTATTACTAAATTTATTACGAAATCCAAAGTGGGCGGAATATCGCTTGCAATATTATCTATAAAATTTTTTGCTTCCATCGTAGCCGAAGGGTCCTGCATTCGAAATTCTCCGGGGTTGCAATAAACACTCTGTAACATTTCGATTTCACTCAACTGAGTCTCTAAATTTTCTTTAAACTTTGATAAAGTCATCAGGCTACTTCTGTTAGGTATCATTTTAATAATCTGCAACAAAGAAAATGTAAATTATGCACAACATAAAATCCCTTAATTGCAGGGGTTTATATTTTGGATGGTTTCCTCCCCATATACAGTATTGGAACATCTCATCCGAAAGATATCAAATTGTTTACGCATAAAAAGCCAGACGTAGAAGAGTTGTACGCAGTGTCATTAGAAGTGGACGTAAAAAATTCTACAAGATATTTAGTAATTTATAGATTTATTGTAAGTTTGATTTAACGCGTTACGAATTACTTTGTAAGTATAAAAACATTTTCATTTGTAATAGGAAACAAAATTTTCAAAAATAATATCTAGAATAATACAGACTGGTTACAAATTAGCAGTTCATACAACCCCCATGTTCTCTGTAATTGTTATAATTGGGGAAGGAGAGATTAGCGAAAAGCTTGTAGAAAAACCTGGGGTTTACGTTTTCGATTTAGAGGAGAAACTAACGAAAATCCAGGGCCTAGATATTCCATATGCTTCTGATGTTTCATTATGGTAATCAATTTTTGTAATACATCATCATAAGGTAGGACTCGCACCTCCGCTCTTTCCTATCCTGAGTTAATCTTCGCATTTCCCTAAAATTAGAACATCCTACATCCGTAACTATTTATGAACAGTAATCTAATCTAGGTCTGCGTTAATTCCTCTTAACTCTTGTTTTTGCTTCTAATGTCGCTGACTAGCCCTTCATTCCTGAGGTGTCCTACCAACCTATCTTGCCTATTTCTTATTGACTTCCACACAGTCCTTTCTTCTCCTATCAGTCACTATTTGCATGTATAACACCACATTTCGAACGATTCTAACCTTTTATTTTCCGCCGCGTCCACTGTCTATGTTTCGCACCCGTACAGCGCCGTTTTATTTGTTTTATATCTCTACTGCTTCTTCCATCCTCAGTTATCTTACTAGATTTAGAAAATCAGCTACTTCTTCTAATCATTCGTCTCCTATCTTTACAGTATACACACAAATGTCAATTACAAAAGCAAAGATAATAATTTTTAATCAATTTAAGGGTCCAAAACAGGAACTTGTTCTTAGGGATAAGCCGCAAAATGTCGTTGACGCAAGATAAAAAAATTAATTTTGAAGTTTACAGTCCGATGTATCAATGGAAAGGGAGTCACTTTGATATGGTTCAAAAAATAAAAACATATAACGCCCAAAAGGTTTTGCCTTTTTCAATATGGGATTCCCATTATTTAATTTATGCCGATCGTAGAAATAATAAAGGTAGTTTTTGTCTGTAGTAGTTCTTAATGAAGTAAGTTCATTTTTAACAGGTGAATCAAACATTTTTTCGGAATTGTACAAGTACGACATTCACTCAGGCCAGTATGTCCTCCATCAAAAAATTTTAACTTACGGCGTGAAGGATGTGAAGCATTTTTGCTTTTTTCAACGCAATATGAAAGAAGATTTCTTAATCATTACAAACTCTAATAACACTGAGAGTAAAAATTTTAGTTTTAGGGTATTTATTACTTCTTTTTTTATGAGATTTTTTGTAGCAAAAACCTTGATACTCAAGTTTGTGGATGATTATTTTCTTCCATTTCAACACATTGAAAACTTGGAAAGAGTGAAAGAATGGCTTCCAGTTATCGTAAGTCCAATTTCTTTTGTAAGAAACACACACAAGGAATTGAATAATAAAAATATTTAAGGGTGAAAATGGTTCTTTTGCACTGCTTGCAGTAACTGAAGACTAACAAGTAAAGGAATTTATAGATAGCCAAATAGAAAATTATATTTCTCTAATAAAAGAAACGAAATATATCAAAAACCACGTTCTTACGAAAAGAAGTACGTCGAACATTGATACAATGGATACACTTACAAGGGACGAAACAGGTAACAAGTTAACAATAACTATTACAGTTGTATAATGAAGAAACATCTTTTGTTATTTATTACATTTATTTGGAACATTAAAAGATATTCTGTTATGGAACCAGAGTCAGGACTAGGGTTGTATACGTTTATTAAAGACAAAAAGTCAAACGTGTACAACCCTAATTCTAAAATTGCAATTCTGCTGAGGGAATGAAATGGTATACTTCATTTACTTTCTCTAGCGATGTGCCTCTTCCAATGTCTTGGATGCGCGCTGCCAAAATCGTAGGTAGGGAGAAAAAAGCTCATTATA